ACAACTGTGCACCAGAATGAATGCACACCGGAGATCTATCAAAGACAGGAATACCCAATTACCTGTGGGGGCACATTTCTCACAAGAAAACCACTGTCTCCCCAATCTCTCAGTCCTGATCCTCAAAGGAAACTTACAAAACACTTCCCAGAGACGAGCCTATGAACTCCACTTCATCAACCTCCTGGATACTAAAAATCATGGACTAAATATAGACATTGGATTTATGACACATTATAACCTGCCTGGCATCTGACTTCCTAGGTATCTCTCTACTATTCATCCCCCTTCTCTTTCTTTCTCCTGGCTCCAGCCTGTCTCTCTCACCCATTGACTCCTCAGTCTACATTTTCACAGACTGCCTGTCTTGTATGCATACCAGCCCAGCCTCTGGCTTCTTTACTTTTCATTCCATCCAGGAAGAGCACACACCAACTGCTGAAACTTCCTTAGCCTGACAAAGGGTTTTTGAACCCGAAAGCTTTCTTAATACTTGTTTTCCAACAATTTAAGTTGGTCTAATAAAAGATATCAGATTCACGCAAAGAACCTTATCTGCCTTAGCATTGGCTAGCATTTTATGTATTTAGCTCCCTTAGATTTCACTTACAACATGGAATGCTCAGCGCTTTCACATCTCAGACCCCAGGATATCAAATGGGGCATCCAGAAAGTAAGAAAAATACAATTAGTGACCAGGTGCAAGAAGTCTAGTGTAAGTGATTTGACAAATCTGACACAGAAATTGCATGGCAGAGACATAAAAAGAATCAGGATCTCCTGGACAGCATTCAGTGGCCTTTGCAAGCAGCCATAGTGTAAGTAGGGGTGGGTGAGCAGGGCATCAGCCCTGTATGCTGGGAGTCTGCACTGTGGTATCAGCAGTGTATGTGCACAGACCCCTATTCTCTGGCACTTGGTACCCCTTCACCTACTCCCCTTTCCCTCTCCATGGCCAAGGCACCAAAATTGCTAGTTAAGCCTCTGACAAGGAGACCTTCCCTTCTTTCTTCCAGAAATTCCCTGCCTTGTTCACTACATACCTTCCAGTTTCCACAGGGGAGTATCTATTGGTACAAATCATCCAACTCCTGCATCAAAGGAACAAGGGTCCTTAAACAAATCTCCTTCCCCACATTGCTGATTCATTCTGAGCACAGAGGTTCTGTGGAAAATAATAATCTGTGAACATATAATTAAAGGCTGCATTGTAATGCACATACACAAAGGGCCTGCATTCAAATTGTGGTCAGCCTTAATTCCGTCATTTCCCCGTAAAGTGGTGGACTTTGAAGCCTTAATAATGTCCTTTCAGTGGCGTTCACTGTGTGTATTTGCTAGGTTTTTTTTTTAAATCAGGAAATGGAAAAACAAATCCCATTCGGTTGGCTTCATAGTGACACTGTGTGGATCATCATTACAGCTTGGAAGAAAGTGTGCTGTCATGGGCACACACTTTCTGTTCATTTTCCAAAGCTTTACCCTTTTTAGCGTGTCACCATCAGACCTCTCAGGCTCCATTTATTAAGCTCATCCCATTCTTCATGTCATTTCCAAGTAAATCCTAGTTTCACTCCCACACACTGCCAGTCCCAGTCTCCTTGCCCTGCTCTCTCTGTTCAAGTAGTGCTGGTTCTCTCCTGTTCTCTGGCTTCTCATCAGATTTTTTCCTTCCTTCATTACTTTTTACCCCACTCCACTAGTATTTGGTCCCAGTCTTCTTACTCAGCCAACCCCAGGCTTGCCTTTCTACCAGCTTAGTGTCTGTCTCCTGTTTCCTTCTCCAGATCTCAGCAGAGCCTACAGCAGCCCAAAGTTTCAGTGGCAGGGAGAATTCTGTGTATACCCAGACAGGAGTATATTGGGTGTGGATAAAACCTGTGGTGTATTTAGCTGCTAAGGTCTAAGAAGTCTCTACTGAGCATGTATGAAGTGTGATTTTTCAAAAACGTGGCCAGATTTGGCTGTTTTCCCACAGAAATGGCAAAAGGCGCATCCAATTCACCACATTTCAGATAACCACTCCAAAGAGAGGGGCATTAGAGACTCCTAAAGAAAGGGGTTACAGTTTAACATAGGTACAATAACATGCTAGTGGGGGGTTCCCCCATAACCATGTTCTCAGAAACAGCTGAACCTTTTGAGTTAATTAAAATGGCTAAAAATCAAATACATTTAAAAATAAATAAAATTAAAGCCTATATGTGTTTCAACCTCAGGAAGACACGCAGCATAGGAAATTTCATTCCAAAAGGTTACAGCTTGGCAGACTTATAAGCAATTGGAAGCAGGGACTTACAATGGGGAGTGTAGAGCAGCTTTAATGGTGGGCAGTGCCAACCATCCCATCTGTAATAATAACTATACAAGGTCCCTGAGGGAGTCAGTGGCATTGTGGAGATTATAAATTAAAACTTAGTTCCCAGTCCCTTGCTGCTCTAACATTGTACCACTGCATCACAAGCTGCCTTTTAGAGATCCCTCCTTTCATTTATTGCAGGTACCTGTATTTTTATAAACAGACAGTGGACCTGCTGGTTGAGAATGGGATTGTGTGCACCGAAGAGGTCACTCTCCCTGTGGTCTCAACAGCTATTTCCCACCTATGGCAGGAACTTACGGAAGAAAGGAAAGAAAGCATCTTGCAGTACTGTAGTCAGAGACAGAATGTCCTCCCAAATGCCAGGGCTCAGTGTTCTGAGCCTGTGTGCACTGAAGGCAGCGTGAGGGACAGCACAGCTAACAGTCAGGAAGCCAGTGGTTCATCAGTATCCACGCCAGAGGAAGTAAGTAGCACTTAATAACAGAGACTTCTCACTTCACAAGCCACAGGCCTCAAGAAAGCTGATATCTTTTGTCAACTGTGAATCTGTTCCAGAGGAAGCACATTATTATAAGAAACCATTTCCCACCCATCGGAATACAGCACTGCAGTAAACATTTGCAGTGAATTCTCTCACTCTGCAGGAGATCCATAACATTGTGATTGCCAGTTGCTTTGTCTTGCTAGACTGTCTCAGCACATGCAGGTGAGAGCAGCATTGTTGATCTGCAGTGCAGTGAGGAACCTGCCTGTAGGAAACATTTAGCTTTGCTCTAACACAGGCAGGGTAAGGCAAGGAAGGCATACAAGTACCATTCTACATATCCTGCAGGAAGCACAGCTTAGCTTGACCCAAGGATCACTGTTCAGATGGCTATGGCTCTTTTCTAATAGCACATTTAAAGAGAAACACAAAAGGACAATTGCTGTAGGCCCTTCCTCAGTTCTAGTAATATTCAGAAGTTCTGCTGATACTGCCAGCTGCGTGCCTGCAGACATACCTCAGCAGAGGTGGGCAGTCAGGACATTTATACATGTACCTTTTAGTTCACAGATCCGCCACTTTGGAGCAGACTGGATTAATCGAGTCTGCTCTGCATGGGAGCTGACGCACACTGCGCTGCACTGCTTGCAGTTGTATAAGTGGTGAAATGCACATCAGCGCGGAGAAAATGGCAGTGGTATGATTTTGAACTAAAGCACCTCCAAGGTGTTTTTGTTCAAAAGTGCACCGCCACCATTTTCTTACTGCTGACGTGCATTTCACCACTTATACAACTGCAAGAGTCACAGTGCCAGGCACTTGCACACGTAAAAATGCCCACAGTAACTAGGTAGCATCAGAAATCTGTTGGTTAAAGCAGGGGTTCCCAACCGCTGGGCCATGGCCCAGTACCGGGCCGCGAAGGGTTGGCTGCCGGTCCACAGGAGGGTTGACTGCCAGACGAGAAGACCGTAAGTGACCGGCATACTGCAGACCAGCAGCCAAACCTTTTTTATACCAAGTATAAAATTTTATACCGAGTATACTGAGTATAAAAAAAGGGTTGGCTGCTGGTCTGCAGTATGCTGGTAGCTGCTGGTCTGCAGTTTGCCAATCTGCAGCCACTTTCAGGGTACGTTTTGCCAGTCCGCAGTCACTTCCAATCCACAGCATAAAAACGTTGGGAACCCCTGGGTTAAAGGAAAGGTAATTCATTGTAAGCATTTGCTGAATTGCCAGTGAGTTGAACAATTAGCTGCTCAGAGCAAGGTTGGGTAACTTCATTGGGTGTTTTTATTCCCCTCTAACACGTCCATATATTGTAGTGACAAGGATCACATGTTTCCTTTTAAGTCGCAAGGAAATTAAACCCGTCTAATTTCTAACCGATCTACTTACAGATTTGCGTTGGAGCATGACATGTATATTAGCTTCTGGCACTAGGAGTAACAGGAACTAATTAGACTAATGGCCTTATGCAGCTGGAATGTAGAACACCAGATCTCCATTGCAACTGAAACTTCAGCCTGAATAGGAGTACGTGGGACTGCTTGGTACAGCTAAGATCCTTAGCTGGATATGTCAATAACAGCTAACTGAAAAGTCTGGGAAAGCCACGTATAATCCCTGCCTTGCACTGATGCTTTTGGAGATGGTTGGCTAAAATCAAATTCTCAGAAACTGAAAAGAGAGTCCTGATGGAACTGAGCCCAAGCCCCTGTTCTAGCTGCATAGTAAGGACCATGACTTACGTTTTTCAGAGGCAGAAATAATTATGGATCCAAGCTAGCTATAAACATACCTGGCAAAGAGGGAAGAAAGAATTCCCACATTTTAAATACTTAATTATCAAAAATTATAGAGTGAGTAACACTGTAAAATACCTAATAGATTTAACATCTCAAATGTTTTCTTTCCTAGGTACTATTTGAAGATGCATTTGATGTTGCTGCTGGGTTTCTTGACAGAAATGAGATGCAGACAACGTCCAGTCTAGGGTAAGTATAAACAAACCCAGTCTACTATCCAGCACTTGATTTTTTTGATGTTAAAGCAACATCCATATCTGTGTCCTAATTCTGAACCTCTTTTAAAGACTACAGTCTCCCACAGCTTGTGGCCTTCTCACGTGTTAATTGGCAACAGTTGCAAACTATTGAAATATATTGATAGTATGTGTTAGAAGATGCCCTCACCTAACTGTCCATTTTGCCTACTGTCCTACGTCACACAGTGGCAAAGCACAGATGCCAAAAGGCAGAGTGAACAGGATATGATGAGGGTTTTTCTCCTGCTCCTCTCCTGGTTGCAGCCGCCAGCATTTAAAGTCTAAGACATTCTTATTCAGTGGCTGGTCTTGGCTGGGATTTTCTGTTCTTGCATGTTGCTTTTTCAATAAATTCTCCAGAAATTTAGAGGATCCTTTGAACACACCAGCTCTGATTCTGTCTTATACCACCACTCAGTGTTACACTGCCAGAACAGTGTGAATGAAAACAAGGGGATTTAAATCATTAACTCAGTTGTATAATAATGTTGAATTAAAAGAAAGCCATCAATTGTGGCTTAACTGATGCACATTTAAGATTAGGGAAACATTCCATGTTATGGCCCTAGTTGAGTGGTTCTCAGCCTGGATGCCACAGTACCCTGGAAAGCCATGAGACTTTTTCAAGGGAGCCACACTGCTGCCACTGCCACCTGAAAC